ATGAGGGAGACCATCACAAAACGGCTATTTCCAAGGTACTGCAACAACTAATACTGCTTATAATAATAATACATAATAACTAAAATAGATAATATTACTATATTATTAATAAAATTGTAGTTTGCTGCTGCTTAGTAATGAAAAAAAATCACCTGAAAATGGTAGAGTTTGGGTACACACCAGCTTTAAAGAATAGTTTATGATGAGCCTACACAGCCAGAGTGACCTCCAGTAGCCGCCAACCAGTGGGGCCAGAGCTGAAAAGTCCCCTCCTGGAGCCACCATTAGGCAGGAGAGTGTACTTACTGATATAACACAGGTGATGGTCCTAGTGTTGATGTACCTTCAAGAAGGAAGTGGATTACAACAGTCTTGGGCTGTCATTTAGCAGTTTGTGAACAATAATACGAAAAAGAACTTCAACTGAACGTTGTTGACTTGAGACTGAGGGAGACTGACATCAGTCAGCCCACCTATCATTATTCTATCATGCAGGAGAACCCACATGTCTATGTTGCATCCATCATAATCAGCAGATTCTTGGTTGTCACTAGTTCGGTTGGTAGCGCACTCATCTCACACACTGAGATCCGTGGTTCAGTCCCCGGTACAGGTGAAAGTATTGGGCTTGTTTCCTTAAGACGCCTCCTGTCTCTGTTCATCTAGCAGTAAGTAGGTACCTGGGTGCTAGTCACCTTACACCTGCTCTGACTGTTCACCTAGGCAGTAGGTAGGAGTACCTGGGTGTTATGTAAAAAACGTTGTGGGTGTATCCTGGGGATTAAAATTAACCCAAGTTTTTGGAAATGCTTTGCATAATAAGACTTTCTATGGTATATGACAGGTGATGATCACTATGGTCTGGTAAAGTTGCATATGGTACTTGTAAAAAATATTCATTATTAATAATATATTACCTTCCGCTCTGTTGGATATGTATCACTGGAAGGTTGTCAGCATCACCAGCTGATGTTAAGATGAAAAGATTAGATAGTGTTCGTATTTTTTAGCCCTCGGAAGGTTAGCTACGCCAGGATAACGCGAGAAATTCAATGTCATAGTACATTTGTAATGCGCGAACAACATTTGGGGTTCCCAGGGGGTCACCCATCAACTACCAACCGAAACCCAGCATTGCTTATCTAGCTGATGCTGATGTAAACTCGGCCAGATGGGCTACTTCACAGCCCTGGGGTCATTTTGTGCATAAATGTGTAAAATTAATACTAGATCATTCGTTCACAAATGCTTAAGAATTGTTAAAGTATTTTATCCACAGTGGTATACATGTATTTTAACCTCAGTGGAATACATGTATTTTATCCTCAGTGGAATACATGTTTTTTACTCCTCAGTGAATACAGTGTATTTTTATCCACAGTGGTATACATGTATTTTATCCACATTGGTATCACTGTATTTTATCCACATGGTATACCATGATTTTATCCACAAGTGGTAATACATGTATTTTTATCTCACAGTGGTATACATTATTTTAGACCACAGTGGTAATACGTGTGATTTTATCCACATGGTATAACATGTATTTTATCCACAGTGGTAGACATGGTATTTATCCACATGGATAGCATGTATTTATCCACAGTGTTATACATGTATTTTTATCCACAGGTGGTATACAGTTTTTATCCACGTGGTATAAACGATATTTTCCACAGTGTGTAATACATGTATTTATCCACATGGTAAAACATGTAATTTAATCCCAGTGGATAACATGTATTTATCCACATGGTAGACATGAGTATTTTATCCACAGTGGTATACATGTATTTTATCCACAAGTGGTATACATGTGATATTATCCACAGTGGTATACATGTTGTTTAAACCACAGTGTATACATGTATTTGTTCGCCAACCATCTAAAATATATCTTGTCTGAGACCTGTGTCATAATTCATAACCAGAAAAAAAAGGGAAAAAAAACATGGTTTAAACTGGCCATGATTTTTTAAAGGGGTGGACCGGTAAAATGCCAGCGGAAATGCTTGTCAGAAGAACAAAAGCTTCTCACGGCGGGTCCACCTCGGACTAAGACCCCGTCAGGGAGACACTTTCTCTCTTTCCCTGACGATAACCTGTAAGCTAACCAACCTATTTACCTGGAGTTTACCTGAAAGAGTTCCCAGACTTCAACACCCTCCCTCGGGCCCGTCTGTGACGAGGCCTGGAGAATCAACCTGATCAACCCCCAAGGCTGTTTACTTAAACTTTTTTTTTTTAAATCACCATATCATACGAAAAAATATAAGATAATGTAACATAATTCAGAAGTAATATTAGCTACACTGAGATTATTTGTGACTGAATTCATGCTTGCTTAAATGACTTATTACTTACTACCAGGATAACACGTGTAAATAGTTCGTTTAATCACGGTAACGTAGCTTAGTTATCATCAAAGTGCTACCTGACCATTAATACCTCTTGTTATAGTTGATGTACCGTCCCTGGCCATGGGTGCCTCTTGTCATCATTTGACTACCACTAATGGATGAATAATGAGAATATTAAAGGTTAGGTTAGGTAGGGTCTTATTCAGTTAGATGTCCCTTGTCATCTAACCTGAGCTTCCCCACCGCTGGGCTTATAGCCACTCCACCACTTTAAAAATTAAGGTCAGTTATAACCATTTCTTTAAGACATTAATTGTTGTTGTTGTTCTTGATTCGCCGGTTCTCTCCCGGTCCGGGTCTTTTCCAGATGGTGACCCGGTCTTGGTTCCCTGTCTTGGCTCCCTGTCTTGGGAACGCCTTAGACCTATGTCTCCAATGGGAGGAGGTACAAGTACCTCCTCATCTTCTGGGACCAACTGTCCTCATGCATAGCACCATTCCCCGTCCTCATGGGGCTCATAAGAAGCTAGGCTTCTGGTCTTTTTTTTTTTTTTTATTCCCCTGGTTAATTCACTGGTCTGGCTATCTAGGTGGAAAGTAGGACAGGACTGCTGACCTATCAGCGTACGCCCAACCATGACGCTGGTTTAGCGTAGTTACTCCCTGTCTCTCATACCTACCTAAAATAAATGATTTTATTATCACTATCCACCTCAACAGCTCCCCCCATTGTCTCACCCTCCTCCCTCCCTTCCTCCTGACATCCTACATATAACAGATTTCTGAGAACTCACATATTAACGGGGCGACAGACCTATTTTTTCATTCTTGCTTTTGAAGACACTGATTGTAAAACAAGTCTCAATCTGTGTAGAAGCGTAAATCCGAGTCAACAGCACTAGAGTTGAATAAAGCTCTACACCGTGAGCGTAAGTTTAAAAACTGATAAATGTCTACTCAACGCACATGACTTGGTAAATACTTCTACAGATAGAGCTAGAGGTACTTGGTAATGCTCCTACTGGCTAAAACATGTATAAAGCTCTAGTACATAAGTGAAACATGATAAAGCTTATATACAGAGTGAAACATGATTATACTCTATACAGAGTGAAAACATAATAAAGCTCTATACAGAGGGAAACATGACTTGAAAGTCAATACAGAGAGTGACTGACATGTCTGCAGCATGTCGACATGATGCAGACATCTGTCAAGAACGCTATCAGCCTATGTCATAAGTTGGTAACAGACGGCCTATTTCTCCTCGAATTTCAGGAGAAATGCTGTAGATAGCTGCAAAGGATGTATATATTGTAAAGTCATTAATTATTAGCGTAGTATGCTGTCCGAGGAGAGAAACCTAGGGAATTTCTTGAGAAGGTCCTTAATCACACTATGACCCACGAACCTCGTGGTTTTGCTTTACCAGCTTAGTTTTCCGCTGGTTTACCAGCCCTTCCTATCAAAACACATATAAAAAGACATCATCTTTATATAGGTTTTCAATACAAAAAAAGAAGGTTCCTGAACACGCAAGTAAGACCTTTGGTCTTCGAAAGGTCGAGAGTTAGTGTAAATGAATACTGTTTTTCTCTAGGATTTCGAAATGGGATGCTCCTTGGAGTGAGTCAGTGGCAACATGAGTCAGTAGTGTTACTCATGGTCAAGTGTTGGGAGGGAGGGAATTCCGGGGGCCAACGCCCCCGCGGCCTGGTCCATGACCAGATAATTCAATTTCTTTTTTTTCTGCACAAAAAAAATTAACCCCTGCAGTGTGGGCCTACACGCGTAACTACGTGATGGTTACATTATGGGAACACCTTGTAGTCTACGGCTGCCCTCTTCTGTATGATAAATCTAAGGTAATAACTCACTCCCAATGGATATGACACTTTGGCTGACTTTTTTGCGTTATCCTGGTGATAATTTACACTCTGTATGATAATTGTACTTATGTGTACCTGTACCTAAATAAACTTGCTTATTTACATTGTGTGGTTAAACTATTCTATATGATATTGTGGGAAATACCTGCAATATGGAGCAGCACTAAACCCATAGAAACAATACGGTGTATGGGAAAGGGGGAAGAGTAATGTTTGATCCGATTCCTTCAACATCAATGTAATAATAATAATAATACACGTAATCTTTATTTCTACCAGAACATGATACAACTTATACAGACCATTGCTGACATCAATGACATATGTAGAAAGTCCCTGGTTATACAGAGCATTTCCCGCAACTTAGCTCAATTTTGTCCCCCAGGATGCCACCAACACCAGTCAGCTAACACCCAGGTACCTACTTACTGCTAGGTGAACGCGTACAGCAGGTGTAAGGTGGCTAACATCCAGGGACCTACTTATTGCTAGGTGAACATGGACAACAGGTGTGAGGTGACTAACACCCAGGTACCTACCTACTTACATGCCAACGTTTGACCCGTGCCGGGGATCGATCCCGGACCCTCAGTGAGTGAGCTGAGGACGTTATCAACCTAGCCACGAGCACCCACTTAAGCGGTAAATATTGAACACCCCATTAATAGTAAGTTCCCCATTCCCCAGCGCCTGGGAAATGGGAGGCCCTTCACTAGCATCAAAGCAACAGTTTACGCAGAGGACTTACCGTCCTGCTGGAGGTCATAATGAGAGTGCTGGTGAGACTGTGTCGAGGAACTACTGAACAGTAGATTCTGTAGAAGTCCTGGAACTCCTGCAGGAGGATGTGTATATGTGTGTGTGTGTGTGTGACTGGAAGAGTGCAGAGGGAGTGTGCTTCATCCCTGGCCTCTCCGCTCCTTTTATACAATCCTGGCCACCCCTCAGGACAATTACCCCAGGGAAACTGAGCGGGAGCTCGGCGCCACAGTGGGTGGAGGTGGCTGCTACTCCTTCTACATGAATTGCGTACGATACCGACAAGATGAAATTAGACACGGGTATCATCTGGGTATCCTTATTGTAGACGTTTCGGGTTAGGTAAGGTTTGTCAGGTGTGGCATGCAAAGAGTACATTACAATTTATTCGGCGTATAAGAAAGTTTAAGACTCAAGTTACATTCACTTGTTAACAAGAATGGGGGGGACCTGATCGAAGTGTATAAGGAAGATAGATTAATAAAGGGATACTAATAGGTTTTAGGATGTCTCTCCAAAGAGAACCCTCAAAATGGTTTTAAAATAGATAAGTTTAGTTTTTAGAAAGGACATAGGAAAGAAATTGGTTTGGAAATGGGGTATAGATATGAAACAGTCACCTATTTTGGGTTTTTTTGGTAACACTAGCAACAATTTTTTTTTATTTCGAAACGTTTCGCCTACACAGTGGGCTTCTTCAGTCGGTACAGAAAATTTGTAGAAGCAAAAACTTGAAGACATGTAACAGTCCTCACCCTAAAGTTTTGGGGTGGTCATCCCTCAGTCTGGAAAAGAGCATTGTTCCTTTGTCTAAACAATATGAATTGAAGTGACAGGATGGACCTTTATAATGCCGGGAGTGAGACGAGGTTGTTTTGGGAGAGCAGGGTCCCCCAAAAACCCACCGTTCTCACTGAAAGGGGTCGAATTTGATGTCTGTACCAAGATACCCTTGTGTTGCATTCTGACAGAAGAACATTAAAATGGTAAAAATACCGACAGATTGTTGGGAAACACATATGCAACAGTTAGGATCTTATTTCGAAACGTTTCGCCCCCCAGAGGCTTCTTCACAGTACGAAAAGTTGATAAAGCAGAAGATACCGTCACTTCAACTTTAATGTTTTAGACAACGGGAAAAATGCTCTTTTCCCAAATGAGGACTGACCCCTCAAAACTTTAAGGGGGGAGGACATTACATCGTCTTCAAGTATCTTCTGCTTCTATCAACTTTTCTGTACTGACTAAGAAGCCTACTGGTTTGCAAACTTTTTGAAAAAAAGAAACCTACTGTTGCTATGTGTCTTTCCCAAAAATCTGTCGGGATTTTATACCATTTTAATGTTCACCTATTGGTTAGAGGCCCAGGGCTTTGGGTTTTAAATCTAGGTTAAAGTACATATGGGGGGGTTGGGTTTAAGGGACTTTCACATCAAGCTTATTTCTTTTGGGATTGAAAAATTTGGGGTTTGGGGAAATGTTTTGTTAGGGGATAATTGTAAAGGACCTGCCCAGTATGGGCCAACAGGCCCCTGCAGTGTTCCTCCTTCTTAGTTCTTATAAAACAAAAAAATAAAATGTAGGAACACTGCAAAAGGCCTACGGGCCCATACGGGGCAGGCCTTTAACAAAACGATCTCTACCTAAACCACCCAAAAATAACTCCCGTACCCAATGAAAAACCAATCAAAACCCACCCCTCCCACTCATTATTTGTCCAGCCCTTTTCTTAAAAGCAAACCCAAGGTCCTAGCCTCTATCACCCCACTGGAAGACTGTTCCACGCATTACAATCTTTTAGAAAACCAGTACTTACCTAGTCCTTTCAAAATCTAAATTTATCCAATTTAAAATCCTTTATTCCGGTTCTTACCGGGTTCGACACCCTCAGACTTTATTAATGTCCCCCCTTTTTATGCCCGCATCCCTTTACACTCAATATATCCCCCTCATTCACGCCTCTCCAAGAGTGGAGATTTAAGGTTTTAAAGTCTATCTTCATACGGGAGGTTCCTTACACATAAATTTTTTTAGTCATTCTTCTCTTTTGTTCTCTAAGAGTCTAGCCACCTGTAGAAGGGGGACCAAAACGAGCACATAACCAAAATGAGGCCTCACTAGTGATGTATAGAGCGTAAATAATTTTGGACTTCTTTTATTTATACTCTTGGATAAACCAAGAAATCTTTTGGGCCTTTTGCCACACTGGGGCACTGCTGTTTTGGTTTAGATTTCTTTTCCCCCATGACTCCCAAGTCTTTTTCACATTCTGTATACCAAGCTCTACTTCCCCTAGTTTAGAGGTTTTTTTCTTCCAAGGGGAAACCTTTCACTTTTCCACATTAAACTTCATCTGCCATTCCCCCAACCAAACATTAATTTTTTCAAATCGTCCTGGGGTTCATTATACCTCCTCAAGTGAATTATACGCCATCTTTTATCATCACAAAAATTTCCAGCACTATAAACCCTTCTCAAGTCATTAAAGTAAAAATTAGAACAAAGGGCCAAAACTGATCCTTGTGGGAAAGCCACTAGTGACTAATCCCCAATCAGATTTCACTCCATTAATGGTAACTCTCTCTTTCTAGGAAACCATGCCCCCAATCCAGCTAAACTTACCTCCTAACCATGACGCATTTTCTTAAGGTCTCTTGTGAGGGACTCTTCGAAGGCTTTACTAAAATCCAAATAAACAATATCAATTCCCCTTTTCACTGTCAACTCCCCCAAATTTCATGAAGAAAGTCTAATTTGTCAGGCAGGAAAACCTCTCGGAATCCAAGCGAGACATTACAAGTTTCCTTCAAGTGACTTTTTGATAAGTCAGCTATAAATTATTTAATAAATTTCCACTATAGATGTCAGGGTTTTTGGACGGAATTTGAAGAGTGGATTATCCCCGTTTGAATATAGGAACCCCCATTTCCAACTTCCACAATCTCACAACACGGTAAGGGATGGGGCGTTTGAAACCCCTCGTTAAAGGCTGCTAAGCTCCATCTTGCATTTCCCTTTAAATACCCTTAAAAAAACCTCGGGTCCCGGGGGCTTTTTTTTTTCATTTTCTATCTGTTTAATAACCATGTCCCCGGACAGTAAATTAGTTAACTTAATTCATCAGAACTAAATAATTTTAATTACTGGAATCTCATTTTCATCTTTTCCGTGAAAAAAAGACAAAAAATAGTCATTAAAAAAGGAACACATTTTCCAGTTCATTATCCGTCCGCTTCCCCTTCCAGATTTCAGAGGTCCTATTTTTTTCCTTCCCTTCGTCCTATACACTTTAAAAACCCCCTTTTATTAGTCCCCTTTTATTCTTTGCAACTCTAATTCATAGTCACTTTTAGCCTTTTTAATCGCTTTTTTTTCTTTTCCCTTTTTAAACTGAACATATTTGGGCCCTTTAAGGTTTAAACCCCTCCTCTCGTGCCCTATAAATTCCCCTTTTTTCCCCTAAATGCTTTTAGCCTCCTGTTTTAAACCCCTTTGGGGTCGTTTATTAGACCTAAATTTTTCCTGGGGGAAGTAATATTCTGGGGACTGTTACATTATTTAGAAAACAATCATAAACAGATCCCTTCATATTTATAATATGATTTCGTCAATAAAATCTTTAGCAGATAACCCCAAAAAAGTTTAACAAATGTTCCCTAATCCTTATAATCGCGAACAAAAAACGGGGATTTTTACTGTTTACATTTTTCTTGCTTTCCCCAATTAATGCAAAGGTGGTTTTTGTGATCACTTCGCCAAGCTCTTCAGTGATCTCCAATTATTTACGATGTTTTCCTTATTTGACAAAACAGGTCAGCAAATTATTACCCCTGAGGTTTTTATTTCACTCTTTTTTTAGAAAACATCCTGAACTTTTTCCATGAATCACTGAACGTTTTAAGATTTTTCCATCAATTTGGCTAAAGTTAAAGTCCCCTACTATGACTACGTTACTGTGTACAGAAGCCCTAACAATTTCGTCCCAAAAAGTCTCCCTCTTCGTGATCCAACCGGGGGCGGGAAATTTCACCCAGAATTTTTTTTCTTTAACCCTCCACGAACCTCCCAAACAGACTCTGTTACTGCTCCCTCTATTTTATTCCTTTTTTATGCAACAATTAATATTTTTCTCGACATACAATCAAACCCCCCCCCTTCCCCTTTCATCTACCACATTGAATAACTTTAAAACCCTGAAATTACATCAACAGTCATACCCGACCTTTAAAATAAAACCACGTTTCATTAATCATGATATCAAAGTTTCCCCGCACAGCTACCAAACGAGTTTCATTAATTTTTATTTTTGCACTTCGATGTTAGCATAAAATCCATCATTTTTTTTTTTTTTTCTTCTGCAAATTTTTCCAAACTTTCTTTGTTTTTACACATTTCGAAATTACATTACCCAGAGTTACCATGACATTTTTACTATTAAGATTTTTAAATATCAAGCAAAGTCAATATACCATACTCTTATTAATCATTTCTAAACCCAAACCTAACTAACCTATTTTAAAAGTCCAACAACCCCCTCAACGGGTTTAGCAAAAAAACCCCACCCCTGCCCTGGATAAGTGAACCCCATCCCTGCATACATGCATTTGGGCCTAAAGTTGCCCCCATTGTCAATGAATGGTACTCTTTATTTTTAAGTGTTTATCCAGCCAAAAATTAATCCCAAAATTGCTCGGAAAACCATTCTTTACCAACACCTTCTTCTTGGCAAATGCCACATAAACAGGGCGCCCCCCCCTTCTTCCAATCATGCTAAGCTGTCCTGAAATTTCTAATAAACCTCACGTCAAAGCTTGCCCACTCATTGCCTCCAGCACTGAGCAAATAATAGGAGATCCCATTACCGTCAGATGTTGTCAGCCCGGGTAAAAAATGTCCTCCATCCACCCCAGAAAACAAAACCCTTTGTCCCTACCCTGTCCTTCAAGCAGAAAAGCCCTATCCATGTATCTAACCGCTACCCCAACAACAACAATATTCTTTCCCTTTCCCTTTTTGTCGTTCGCGGAACCCAGTAGTAACTCCATTTTTTCGGGGAGCACCCAAATGCGTTGGAGGTTTCCCCGGGGGTTTCCACACATCCTTTTTCTTTATCGTTTCGGGGTTTTTCCCTTCGTCT